GTGTTAGTATTCGTAAACTTATTATAGTAATCAATAAAAGCAAAGTTAAAAAAAAAAATTAAATAAAAAAATTATTTGATTGTTCCAACTTTATGCAATTATTTTTCTTTACGATTGTTCCCATGGGAGCTTATATCATATAGTAGTCGATTCTAATTAAATTTAAATCGTAGTTCTGAAATACTAAAAGAATACTATACTTCGAAGAACGTTCTAATCTAACCACTCCTAGACAAACAGATATATGTCTCCTCAATCTCGAATTAACCGACCCACAATTCTTGACAACTGCGTAAATTGATTTGGTAATTGGCATTGATATAACCCCTAAAATCTTCCTGGAGTGCATTCGAACATCTCTCTCAAATAATCTTCTCGCTGGTTCCTCAAAGGAGACCCCCACCACATCAACGTTTGCTCATTTTCCACGTGTGTAGTGAATGATTTCAAAAACCTTTGCAATCTCCTACAAAAATTGTGGGAAGTGGAAGAGATTTCGGTACCCAGGCCAACTGCTCGTTCAGACCAGTTCTGCGAAAAACTATTTATTGGTACCATCCAACGATTACCCGATGGTCGCTTTATGGTTCGTCTCCCTTTTAAATCAGGGTCAGTTAAGAACTATTGCTATGTCTCAGTAATATCGGATGCAAAATTCTATTGCTAAAAAAGAGTCACTCAAATCACAACATAATAATGTCTTAAATGAATAGAAACTCCACTATATGAAATTATCAAAAAAAAAAACAGCTATATCTCATACTACTTGCCACATCATGGAGTAGTAAAACTCACAAGTACGTTTACAAAGCTAAGAGTTGTTTTCGATCCATCCCGTTGCACATCTTCAGGCCTATTATCTTAACGATGTTCTATACAAGGGCTTTACTCTATAGACCGACTTACTTGGAATCCTATTGGCGTTTATACAAGAATGTGTTAAACGGGGAACATGAGAAAATGTATCTCAAAATTCTTGTTCATTCGACGATAGGGCTTTCCTGAAGGCAGTTCCGCCATGAAAGATTTCGAACACCGTTACTTTCAGCGTTAACTGCGCCTATTTAGCAATCAGAACCCTGCAACAATTGGCCAAAGACTGATATGATTATATATACTTTCCGGCGCTCATACACTCGATGGTGCCATGAAAGCCCAGACAGAATTCGATCAGCACTCAGCCGGATTTTTACTTAGAAAGAATACAGCAAATCACGACGTCTATATTCGATGACAATTTTGGCAAAGTCTCTGATTATACGGATTGTATACATACAATCAGATCCGCATCGTCGATTACTCGGCCCGTCGTTAAACTCATTGTCGTTCCAACTAATCCCAACTCATTCTCGTCAATCACCCTCTCATAATGTCTTTCTTTTCTTATTAGATGGGTCAGGGCTCATTCAATCCCATTTGCCACTGGACAAAAACGAAAACCATAAGTTTACCTTGCCTTCAGCTTTGCGGCTCTTTATGGGGGCGAAGTTAGTCAAACACGCGCTCGAAGAAACTCCTCTTGAGAAACTGAGTCTTGGCTAGAAACACCGCCTGACACATGGAAAACATACGTCGCAACTCGCACAGCAAGTATTCACTCCGAAAGTCCCAATTCGAGTTGGAGCCATGTCCAGTCGATGGACAATCCAGCAGATCTGGGAAATCGAGGATGCTCAACTAATAAATTAAGAGAATTCACACTATGGTGGAATGGGACACAATGGTTATCTTTACCAAAGGAGGTCTGGCCAAACTCGCCTTAACATGAATGGGGCCGCGGGAGTTCCGTTAGTGCGAATTACTTCCAGGACGACGTAGTTTTTTTATTTTGATGCTTTTTTTATTATTATTATATTTGACTTAATTAACAAACTGAGTGTTGTGTGATATTTTAAACTTTAATGAGTTTACAAAGTGGAGTGTTTCTCTATGGACTGCTTAGTTTGAGATTTCGGCATCGAGTGACTTTATTAGTTTCTCGTTTCTGATCTGTTACCCTCACGCATACATTAGCGATTTCTGTCTCTGTTGTCAGAACCGACGTCCACACCGTGTGTTTCTCTCTTCCTGCTCTTCTGGTTTGTTTCTGATTCTTACATGAATGTTTTCCCCCAGAGTCCCGTACTCAATCGATTGATGGAGACCTGTGTTGAAAGTTCACCTCATTTGATCATAGCAGCACAAAAAACGCATTACCCAGATGAATACAACAGACTATTCAATAAAAAATGTATTTCATCAAAAAGCTCACTCAGCCCTTCAAACCCTTTCATTGATAACGATGGCGAAACACGTGGCAACTCATATCTCTCGTACAACGAAAGCCACCCAGTGCTTTTACCTTCAAACTCTAGACTCTGCGCTCTATTTATCAATTTTGTTCACCAAATCCTTCTTCATGCAGAAAACCGACTCATGCTACACTGTATATAAAGGAATTTTATATTCCAAAGTAAGCATTCGAAGATGTGCGACTTGCACCCGTTTAAATCAGAGAACTTCCAATGAGATCATGGTCGGCCTCCCGTCTGATCGATTCACTTTCACACCCGTATTTACAGTAACTGTGTAGGACCTGTTGACTTTAAAACGTCAGCGATTCGCATAAGCAACACTATTTAAGGATATGTAGCTGTTTTTGTATGCTTCTCAATCAAAGCGGTTCATTTGGAACCGGTTTCGGAACTGACCACAAAGTCTTTTCTGGAGACCTTGGAGCAATTTGTAAGTCGCAGGGGAGTTCCCAATAAAATGAATGGATGGATTAAAGGGTTTCCTTGGCGCCAGCCGTGAGCTCACAAATGCTTGGGAAGCCTTTCTCAAAACGACTAGCGGTCACATAACGGAGATCTATAGCAACCGGTCCTTTGAATAGCAGTTCATTCCTCCTCACACCCCACATATTTGCGGTCTTTAAGAAGCTGCAGAAGCTACTCAATGACGGAAGTGAGCGTTTTAGGTTTTATTTAGTAAAGCCGAAACACCTTTAAGTAAATTTGATGTCAAAAATGTGACACGCTGCGGAAAGCCAATTGTCAAAAATGCCGACAAAATAATGGCTAATAATGGAGCTAAACCTTGCTAAAAAAACAGTTTGGAACCATTTAACAAAGGCTAGATACATAAAAAAGCTTGATGTATGGGTGCCACGTGAGCTATCAAAAAAATCGTTTGAACCTAATTTCGATCTGCGAATCGCTGCTGAATTGCAACAAAACCGTCCCGTTTTTGAAGCGGATGGTGACTGGTGATGAAAAGTGTATCACTTACGACAACGTGAGGTCGAAATGGGTCGAAGAAGGATGAGCCGGCCCAGGCGGTGCCTAAGCCAGGATTGAGTTATCTACTATGAGCTGCTCCCCTATGGCCAAACACTTAATTCGGTTTTGTACTGCTCAGAAGCCAATAGGAACGGAATTGTTTTCCATCAGGACAACGCTAGACCACTCACGTCAATAGCGACTCGCCAGAAGCTCCGAGAGCTTGGATGGGAGGTTCTTTTGCATCCACCATATAGCTCGTACATCGCACCAAGTTACTACCACCTCTTCCTTTTGATAGTCTAAAATTAGCTACAAGAGATGATTGCGAAAAGCAACTGTCTAAGTATTTTGCAAATAAGGACGAAGGCTTTTATGAGAGGGGTATCATGAAATTACCATGAAAAGGGCAATCGATTGTAGAAAAAAGTGGTGCTCTTTTGAAATAAATCGATTAATTCTAACCATAAAAAAAGCTTTGAATTTTATGTACAAATAATTGATTACTTTTTACTACCTGCCATAGGAAGACAACTTTTGGGAAAGTTTTATGCAGATAGCTTTAAAACTGAGAGACAAGTGTGCTTAGCGGACAAATAGTCGGACAGACGGACTGACAGACGGACATATGTGTTTTCTTGCACAATTTCTTTATTTTTCCCGCTTATATTAACGTTTAAAAGCTTGAAATTTTTAAATCAGGGGTGCCTAAACATTGCTTATGACAGAGCAAACAACAATTCTAATAAAACAGGAGTACATTGGTGCGAGAGTTTTTTTTCGTTTCAAGTTTTTCACTTAAAAAATTCTGTAATTCTGTAAGTAATTAAATTACTTATAAAATAATTTATAATAAAATTTTTTAAATGCCTCTCCAAATTTAATTATTTTGTCCCATTTATTATTGTATGACAAATAACAAATGCTGATTACATAAACATCTGGAAAAAAGAAACTCATCGCTGCGATGTTGATCAATCTTTTAGCAACGAAGACAAGAAGTGATTTCTGGCATTGCAAAGTTTTGGGCTTGGGCACACCTACTTAAAATTCCAAAAAATATTTCTTATACATTATTTTAAATATTTGGCTTCGAGCTCAGCAGTTTTTTAGTTTGTAATACCCTTTTAAAACTGATCTATGGTTAAACCGAGCAATTGACCTTTGTCTTATCATATCCAGTAGTATTTATTTATGAGCGTTATATTTTTATTTTTATCTCCAACGAACCGTTTTAGTTTTTAAAACAAAAAAAAGGCAGTCGACGCGCAACCAAGGCATTATGATGTTAATATTTTGGGTTTCCTTGGTTTTTTAGCTAGCATTAAATTAGCGGGAGTATTTCGGTTCGCTTTGTCGGCAACTACAATAAATGAGCAAAATTACACTTTGTTTATTGATTGGTGGTGTACTATCGAAAAGTATTTTGATACCGAAACCTGGCCAGTGTTTTTGATCGGTTTTGTCAACTTTACTCATTAATTGCATATCGGAATCTTATGTCCGTCTTGCCCGCACCTACGTAAAACCGGGTAGTATGAGAAAAAAATTCTCCAATGAATGATCCTAACGGTGCAATGTCACAAGCCATTATAGAGAGTGTATAGCCTTTCAACATGTTGTTTCTGAAATGCCTTTTATGACACAAATTTAAACATAAAAGCAAACGAGTCTACATGTTAATATTCTAGCCGAATTAACGTTATATAAAATTTATTAAGATTTTGTAGCTTTAATTACCTTAGCTCCACGAACCGACTCTGGATGCTTTGCATGGTACATGCAAAAGTATTTTCGATGACCATTTAATGCCAGCACAGTACCAACACAGTTTCTTGGATTGACTTGCAGATTTCGATTTGTACACAAAGATAAACGAATGATTTCGGCAAACCACGGCAATCCTTTTTCAATTGCCATGTGGCCAAACAGCAGTGTCTTGGATTTTCTGTATGGCCAAACAGCCTTGTGAAAATATGGAATAAGTTTAGTCCTACTTTGAAAATCGGTAATGAGCAGTAATGTTCTACATCCTGGTTTTAATAGGCGCACCATTCCGTTATATTTTTCAGCTCTTAGTTCGTATAGCTTTAGTTCCGGGATGAGATTATTATTGTGATGGTCTGAAATTACATTAAAAAATTAATTAATATTTACATAATTTTTATTTGAGCTATTTACAATCACTGTGATAATTATTCCCAGCTTCTTATTTAATTTATTTATCTATTATCTCGTTCTCAAGACCTTAAGATTTTAAGCCTGATAAATAATATATTTACTTCATAATTTTCAATAAAGAGAATATATTATTATTCTACGAAAAGTAATTTTTGTACAGCATGAACGGATGTGTTTTTAATAGCTCCGTAGAAAATCAAGTTTTTACCTAGTATTTGAGGTCGGAAAATTTAAATCTCCAGTGTACAATTGGAACAATCTCCTGTTCTCACTGTGCGCATTTAAACTATTTAAAACAATTAAAAATCCCAAACATCGAACCCTGCCTTTGTTTTGTATTTGTTTTTGTGCATCGAACCCGGTATCTGGTCTTGTGTGCAAATCGAACCTCGATTAAGTGCCTTGCTTTCAGCACCTTGTGCACCTCTACATAATCACTTGCGTCTGCGCAGCAACAACAACAAATGCAACAGGATCAGCAACGAGCGTATGTCTGATGCGTCTTCACCTCAGCTGCTAGAGATGCTCAACTTGCGTATCGAAGAGCAAACTTTAAAAATCTCTGGCCTTGTCTAAGTCCTCGGTGGCCTTATGACTCGTTTGAGGTGGAGGTCTGCGAACTGAAAACTTTGAAACAAAAAATGGGGCAGATAGAAGCCAAACTTTTATCTCAGCAAATGGCAACTCAGGCCTGTGAATTACAGCCGCTCACAAATTTCTTCTGATAGTCATTATAAAAATGGAAAACTTCCACGAAAAAATCATTCTATTACGTTGCATCGGGAACTTACCGGCGCACTGCTAAACAACAACTTAGCTTGCAGCTGTTGGGGTTTGATTTCCAAGCTGCTCTCTATATTGATGAGCAGCTTTTAAAAGAGAAAATATATTATAAAAAGAGGCCATGAAGCTTAAATAGCTAGGAATTTTGTCAGCAGTCTTCACTCCCTTGAGGCCTTGTGCAAGTCCGCTGTGGTGATAATATGATTTATCGAATCGAGCGCATGGATGAGCTTTCAGCGCTCTCTCATGATCTGGGCGTACAAGCACAAACCGCTCTTCCCCTATCTTCATCATCTACATCGCCTACAACTTCTGTTGCTTTATATGGATCGCATGCTTTCTTATCTAAAATGTTATTTTTATATTTATCCGTATTTTTATTGACCTTAGTTTTAAACATTGTTAATTGTTAAAAGTTTGCAACTTTCTCTTTGTCTTTGTCTTTGTCTCTTGAAGTCTCTATTCTTACTAAAGCGCGCTTCCCAGTAGGTCCTCAATATGTTCGACCAGACTGAAATAGATAGTTCCATAGCTGCGAGTTTAATTAGAATCCTAGTTAAGCACAAAAAGGGTATTAAGGTCGTCCAATGAAGAAAATTGATGAATTTAAATACTTGTTTGCTCAGTTTAACGTTGATGTTATTTTCGTGTCTAAAACTTGAATCTTGTCCGATTTTAATGATCTGTCTATTGCATGTGATGGTGTCGCTATTTATGTAAGCAAAATAATTTAATTGTACCGTTAATTGATTGGAAGTCCATAAATATGTCTCCCAATATCAAGCATCAATTGCATATTTTTAACAGCAACATTGATTACCTGTATAAAAAAAGTGTGTTAATAAGACAAAAAACTAACCATCCAATCCATCCATCGGCCTTTCTTTCAAACAGAACTCAACGCGTTCTCTTCAATAATCAACTTTCCTGGTCGTAAATGTTTTTTCTGGTGTCCCCCAAGGAAGTCATCTGGGGCCACTACTTTTAGTTCTTTTTATTAATGATCTTCCAAAAGTAGTGTCATTTGCCTTTACTCTAATGTATGCGGACGACGTAAAAATTTGCCTATCATTCTCTGACCAAATGTAATACCTTCGCCTACAGTCGGACATTGATCAATTACAATTATGGTGTTCCAACAATTTGTTGCTTCTTAAACCACTAAATGCAAATGTATGTCCTTTTACCGGACTACAGCCCACATACACTCTTACCATCTTGGAAACACTACTTTAGAACGTATTACGCAAGTAACTGATCTAGGTTCCTCTTTGATAGCAAGTTATGTTTCAAAAGCAATATTTCTGTCACTATTGGTAAAGCTAAGGGTGTTTTAGCCTTCATAAAACGTTGGGCCAAGGAGTTTGATGACCCGTATACAACAAAGACTCTTTACATTTCCACTATTCGCCCTATTTTGGAATACTGCGCATGTGTATTGAGCCCTCAATATATTGATCAACAAAAATTAATCGAGTCAGTCCAAAAGCAGTTTATATTATTTGCTCTTCGACAGATGAATTTGAATTTGGAATTTGGTGTTAATTGATCAAAAGTCTTTAAAACATCGTAGAATGTGCAGCGGAGTAATTTTTTTGCAAAAGCTTCTTGACAATTTGTGGAACCATGAGCCCTTTCGGGTGTTTTGTTCAAATGATAATGCAGTATATCCTGTAATATCTTTGGAAAATTCTATTGATCAATTATCATCAAACATTTATGCTTTTCTCGAATCTTGTAATATTTAGTTATTTAAAACCGATTTAAAAAAAAAACAGTACACTCGGGCGCGTGATAATGTACGGCAGATCATTAGATCTGCAAAGTATGACTTTTATGGGTCCAAAAAAACAACACTTGGTAAAGTGTTTTCAGTCAATCAGTTTTCCCAACCCATAGTGGACGTCAATGATCTGAACAGGAAGTTTGTCCAATTCGATGTACCTGAAGCTACATGCAACAAGTACTTGAATGCCTTACCAGACTGTGATAATAGATTTAGTTTTATGTGAGTAAGATAATGTGATGTCCTTCAAAGTTTACTTAAGCTGAAGTCAAACGCTGAAGGCCTATGACATCAGTCAAAAATTTATTAAATTGTTGTTACCTTTTCTCCTTTCCCATATTACACACATTATGAATATAGCAATAACCACATCCACCTTTCCTTCCGTATGAAATTACGCGAAAATTATCCCTATACCGAAAAGTGTAACTGAGTTCAGACCTACATATATCCATACTTCCTTTTTTGTCGAAATTTTTTTAAAATATTCTGGCGGTACAGATACAACCTTCTATAGGCACCAACTCCATCCTTAATGATAAGCAATCTGGTTTCAAAAAAAGAGGAGTTGTATCAGTGCTAATACTGATGTTGTTGAGGACATTCAAACAAGGCTAGATACTAATGGGATTTAGTTTTTGACACTACTCGATCACAGCAAGGCTTTCGACATCGTCAACCATAGTATTCTATGTCAAGTTAACGATTGTATTAGTATGTCTTATACCTGTCTTCTTAAAATTAATAACTGGGCCATTGAAAAAGGACTATGTCTAAACACAAAAAAAAAACAAATGTTTTGATATTTACAAAAAACCATATGACACTACGCAACTCCCTAATTTATTAATTGGCAATAGCCCAATAGCCCACAACTTTCAACTTCTCAGTCGTTCTTGCCAACTCAACTACGAAAGCTAGTGACCAAAACAATTCTAGTTTCCACCCTGTTTTACGGTGTTAAAATTTTTGGCCATTGTGACACTCAAGATATGCAAAAAATGTATGTTGTTTGTAATTCACTTGTTCGTTATGTGTTTAATCTCCGTAGTACTGACCGCACTTCCCATCTAATTTACAATATTCTTGACCTTAGCCTTATTCAGTGGATTGACTTTTACTTGTTTCAGAAACCGCTTCCAGCTCATTCGCAAAGAAAACAAAACTTTATCATCCCTAGACATAAAACCTTGTGCTCGAGGAAGCAATTCTTTATTAATGCCGTTCGCCTATTAAACAATATTCCTCACGTTCTCAAAATTTATGATAAATATTCTTGAAAACATTAATTTATGATTTACTTGCGTAAAAACATTGAAGCTATGATGATTTGCAGCTCAATTATTCTATAGTTCCTATGGCAGCTATGTGATATCGTTTTCCGCGGTTAATAAAATTAAAAGCGTAATTCTAAACTGCCAAATTATTAATAGGTCAAAAAGAATTTAAAAAAAAAATTAAAAAAAAAGCTACACCTAAAAAAAAATATTTTTTATTGTTTGTTTGTTGTTTGTTGTCTGGCAAAGGAGTTTCATGAGATAATCACTACGATAGCGTTGACCGACCAATCAAACTTGGAGGTAAAAGAGCTATTGCGAACTCGTGTGGGGTTAGTTGGCCCGCGAGCAGTAATGCCATTGCTGGTTATGCCTACTATGTTGGATCGTGTTATATTAGGTATGGATTTCTTGGCCGCAATGGGGACACGGAAACAGTGCGGAGGGGCGACGCTTTGGTTCTTCGGCGTAAGACTACCGAAAGCGGATGAGTGAACCCGTTCCGAATAGTTATCCTGCAATGCAGAATGTGATCGATACACAAGTGGTTAAATTACTTCGGGAAGTCGCCGTCGAACCATAGTATTGGTCAAAAAGAAGAATGGCGTATGTACGTTGATTATCAACAATTGAACGCTCACTCATGCCATATAGAGACTGTTCCAATAAAAGGTGATGCCTTTCGGACTTCACTCAGTCAGTGCGACATTTCAACGCCAACTTGACCGACGTCTTTCGCAGATTTCGTATGGCAAATTTGAAGATGAATTCAAAGAAGTGCGTGTTATTTAGGCGGTAACTTGTTTATCCAGGCCACGAGTTAAGCCACGAAGGAGTCCAAATAGATCCATTGAAAGTATCGACTATCACCAATCTAAAAGCGCATACCAACGTTAAGGAACTTCGACAAAGGCTGGGTATGGCGTCGATACCGCCGACTCGCCCCAAATTCCGCAACCTTGGTACAACCAATGACTAGAAAAATAAATCTGAGTCTAACCACTGATCCAGTGTTGGGCTGTCCCGAGTTTGACAAGAAGTTCGTGTTACAAACGAACGCTAACGATGAGTTTGGGAGTGGTCCTTTCACAAGACA